TTATTCAAGGTACATCGTACTATCGAACTATCCTACTATCTCTAATAATCAGATTTTTCATTTTTTATATCAGTGGCCAGATGCATAATATTAAAATAAGAGGAGTTGTGCACAGAAGATGAGTAGAACCACAATTCGATATGCCGGCTATATGCTGCCAGTAGAACCAGCAGAGCAGAAAGATTGTCAAATTAATAATAGTGAATTTTCAATTTTCGGTTTTTCATCTTAATTCTCAAGGAATAAATACAAAATAACAAAAAAAGAGCAGATCAACTGTGGGTGAAAAACCTTGTTGCCTTATTTTATATGCTATAAGATTTCATATATGATTATCTATAAAATATATGATATGATATTAACATTTGTAGTGTACCATATTTCTAGTTTTGATTTTTCGTTTGCAAAACTCATATTTTAATTTTCACGTATATATTTACGTCATTGTTATTAAAGGTCAAAGGTTTACCCAAGTTTAAGGGGTATACGACAACGAACGATGGAAAAGGATAGGTTTTTTGAATGGGAAAACAACGAAGCATTTTCAAGGTTTTTCGCTGAATTTTGAAATGAATTGATAAAAATATATGCTGCCAGTAGAACCAGCAGAGCAGAAAGATTGTCAAATTAATAATAGTGAATTTTCAATTTTCGGTTTTTCATCTTAATTCTCAAGGAATAAATACAAAATAACAAAAAAAGAGCAGATCAACTGTGGGTGAAAAACCTTGTTGCCTTATTTTATATGCTATAAGATTTCATATATGATTATCTATAAAATATATGATATGATATTAACATTTGTAGTGTACCATATTTCTAGTTTTGATTTTTCGTTTGCAAAACTCATATTTTAATTTTCACGTATATATTTACGTCATTGTTATTAAAGGTCAAAGGTTTACCCAAGTTTAAGGGGTATACGACAACGAACGATGGAAAAGGATAGGTTTTTTGAATGGGAAAACAACGAAGCATTTTCAAGGTTTTTCGCTGAATTTTGAAATGAATTGATAAAAAATATTAAAAATTTTTTGTTAAGGTTAATCATAATATAATTTTAATTTTTTTGCGAACAATTTGTGGCACACTCATTACTCATTAATTTCGGAAGAAAATTTGCCGAGCGATGGCATATGGGTAGAAATACGATGCTCAGATGCAATCAGATGCTTAATATGAGTCAAATTTTTGTAATAACTAAATTTCTCGTTGCCATAAATTTTTACTGCCATAACACTGAACTATGCAAAATTGAACTTTCAGTATTCATAAATATTCATAAATAAAGTTTTTATTTGATTTTAAAGAACAATAAAAAAGATAACTATAAACTTGTAAAACTATGAAAATGCTCGAGCCAATTCCAAGAAACGAACTTCATTTTTTGTCACAAAATCTTCTATTTTGTCGATTATGATATGATTTCTGGAAATTCCTTATAACTAAATAATATATATTATGAAATTAGAATTAATAAAAATAAAAAATAATAAAAAAAATAAAAAAATTCTTTATAGTCTTTTCAGAGAATCAAAACTTACGATGGATAATAATGACAAACATTCAGTTGAATGGCTTTTCGAAGCCCTCGCACTCGACAAAGCGCCATTCCACAACCGATGTCCGTTGCTGCCAAATTTGTCATCTTAAATATTTTCGTTTTATTTGCTTTTTGCCGATATTATCAAATAACAGAACAATTAGAAAAAAATTTGCAAAACAAAAATAATTGAAACTGGAAGATCTCTGCAAACCTGAATGAATGCATCAAAGTTCTCTTTGAACTGTTGAGTTGAAAGTTCAGTAATGTTTGTGCGTTCCATATGCACAAAGTCATCCCACACCGATTGCGGAAAATCTATTAGCAGAGAATCTGGAATGCAGAAAACTTATACAAAAGCAGTTTCACTATTACTACAACTAATCATAGTAATCGTTTAATTTTAACGCCCTTTTCTCGAACCAATCACAAAAAAAAATTACCGCTTACTGATTTTGCATTGACCCAAGAATACGTCAGACTTTCACCAATTTTGTTCTCTAAAGCGGCGCTGGAATGTGCCCACGAGCAATCGTTTGCCCAAAGTTGTGCTGATTCTTCCAAAGAACAATTCCATTTCTAAATGCTTCAAAAATTATGTCGAAAGCATTTTTTAACTCCTTTGCAAAAAGATAATTCGAAACTATGTTCACTTATCATTTATCAGCTTTCTTCCTTTAGTTCTATCAAATAATAATTGGCAAATTATTTGTTGAAAAAATCACCAATTCTCTTCTTTCATCCGGCAGATATCCATGCATTTTTGCGATGACATATTCAAGTGTTGACCTATATATTTTATGACGCGCAAGAACTCTTTCCTGCACTTTAACAGTAATGTTCGATTTTGAGCATCCTAAAGAATGGAAGAATTAGCGCAGTTTTTCGCAATTTAACGTTATTTCATCATTATTGCATTAATTTATATAATTTGTTCCTTTTCTTCATGGAAAAATTAATTGTTATAATAATTAACCAAGTGATGCTTGCATGGTGTCGGCGAGCCTTGTTGTCTCATGCGTTGAGACTGTCTCCATCGTTGTTGGCTGATATGTTGAGACTGTTTCTATTTCTACTGACTCGCTTTCTGAGGAATCACTGTCGAATGATTCAAATTGTGATGCCGAAGAATTTACGTCCAAAGTGGACATTTCTACAGTATTATTTTGCGTTGAGGTGTTTGTACTTGGTTCTTGCCTAATATTTATCAGCAATTAAATTATAAATAGACTGAAATCTTCTAAAATTCTTTCCAGTTTTTAAAAATTATCTTATATTGGAAATTAAATTACTCAGATGAGAATGTAGCATTTTCCAAATCATATTTCAGTTGCAGAGGAAGATTTTGTCCGCTCGAAGATTTCATCGCATACCGCGAATTTGCAGGCGCTTCTCTAAAATTCCAATTAAAATTTCTTAAAGGTCAACCAAAATTTTCGTATGAAAGAATTTAATTTGAAAAGCTCTAAATTTTTAAGAAGGAAAATTTTCGTAAAATTTATTTGCCGCGATTCATCTCGTTGATTTATTATGCCTAAGGAAAAATGCAGAAATCAGCAATAAATAAATGCAATATTTTTCATCAAACCTCAACTTGTAGAAGCAAATAGTTAAATCGATTCGGGAAAATTTATTAAAACAAAGTTTTTTTGC